TTTTTTTTTTTTTTTTTTTTTTTTTTGACATCAAACGGCTGATCTATTACTCAAGGAACTCGAGGTGGTCTGGGAATCCAGACCGGAATAGAACAACCAACGTACACAAGCTGGAGTGTATTATGGGTTTTGCAGGACGATTAAGGGTTTTTTTAAGAGTAATTTAGTCCAACATAGCAAAAGAAGAAAGTATTTAGGGATTTGCCATACTTTAGGGGAAAAAGTAGTAATAGAGGAAAGAAAAGAGAAGAGAGAAATATGATATGAAGCTAAATAAGAGGTTTTGTGTGTGTATGGAATGCAAATATTCCTTTTTAATGTTAAAATTTTATACTCCTTAGTATTAAAAAAATCCTTAGATTTTTTAATATTGGAAGTTGGAGGAGTGTCTGACCATTTGAGATGCTGGACAAAACTCAAATTTGCCAAGCCAACGAATCGAAAACATTCAAACTTTTCGCTTAAATAGTTGATCAGGGATGAAACTATCTAGAGCCGCTTTATCATTCTAAGATGGCTCTGAAGATTTTCCATAGTACTCAAGGATTCAAAGAGTGCTCTTAGAGAGTTGAACATGGACATGTTTGGATACCTTTCGTCTAAAGTCAAATAAGCTTTTGAGTTTGAAACAAACTGTGGCTACCGAATTCCCTTCTTCTGAAGCGTTTGAAGAAGTCTCAGTGGCTCTGGAACACTCGCACCATATATCTGATATTGAAGAGCAGTTCTAATTTCAGAAATCAAGGGTGTAGTAGCTGAGACTTAGAGATCGTAATAACTGTTTTTACCACAAATTCTGTCAAGCTTGGAACTCAAAAATCCCTATCAGGAGGATAATAGCAGCTGATGGAAGGGTCTTAACCGATTTGAAAGAGATCAAGGTTGAAGCTGCTCTGCATTTATAAACTTTTCTCAATGGCCAGCCTATAAATTTTGAGAGGGCTTCTATGGAGTATTTGCGGGAGGTAGTTGATTTTAGATGTCCTACTACAGTAGCAGCGGAGCTAGTTAGACCCGTTCAGGGTGAAGAAATAAAATAAGTTTTGTTCTCTATACCGACGAATAAGGCTCATGGACAAGATCGTTTTCCGGTGGAGTTTTACAAGGCAGGAAGGCCTGTCATAGGGAAAGACATTATCATGGCGATTCAATATTTATTTTTGTTTGGTTTAATGCCTCGAAGTACAAAAGCAACCCTCATGTCTTTGATTCAGCAGAGGCTGATTGTATGACTAACTATAGGCCTATTGCATGCTGCAACATCGTCTACAAATTTATATCAAAGATTCTCGCCATGCGTGTGACACCCCCGATAATAGATGACCGGAAATGACACGATCAATGCTCCCCAAAAGCCAACCCGTGGTTCCCGATTCCTTCCAAGTTCCTTGGACTAGAAATCTGAGAGCACCAACGCTCCTACCAGATATTACTCAAGGATTTTCAACCCGACCAAACAATACTCGATATTTAATTCGTCCCGGATAAATACTAATATCATATAGAATCTAAACATGCTTTATACATTATATATATTTACTTGAAACATTTTACAACCCGTTTATAGTTTTAACCTATGTCCTATTGCTTGACAACATTTTACATTAAATATACAACCAAAGCGACGTTGCAAGGATAACGAAAAAATTACAGCTGATAAGATCGTTCCTTCTTATCCCAAAAAAAAAGACTTCCTCCTAATGGTTACGTGCACACATGAATGAGTCATAGATAAACAATATACTCAGTGAATCTAGAATCACAACACAATCTATCATCAACACAAACAATCACAATAATACATAAGTATGATCATGCAAGTACTAGTACATATTCAATCACTATGAATCATGTCCTATACATCACTACTTATCACCTATCCTTCAATCATAATAATACATATATGTATGCTAAACCCAAAACCACAAAAGGCTAAGAGATTAGTGGGTAAATAAAATATAAACCATCACCATCGGACAATCACATAATGAACAACCAACACTGGATATTCACCCAGAACATGGCCCTAATCTGAGATACCATAACTCCGTGTCTTCGTACACTTGAAACGTCACGTGAAACACGTACAATCAAGTGACGTATCTTCATTTTACGGGGATATAAAGGTAGTGAGGACGTATCTTCATTTTACGGGGATATAAAGGTAGTGAGTATTTACTAAGACTTCATATTATTATCAGTTAGCATATATGAATGTATGAATATTTAGTACTTGAGAACAAGTACTAAGTTTCAGAACAAACCTCAATGACCATTTAAGAATATTTCAAAAGAGTTCACAAAATAAATATTTCAAGGATTATCAAGTATCAAAGGACCATGCTCAATCATTCGTGACTTATCACTGCAGATAAATCATGCAACACACATACATGATATATTCATCCAACTATCCAGACTCACCTCGAAATAAGCATTGAAACCGAATTTAAGAAGGCTTGAAACTGATTTTGATCTTGATCAAGGTGAAACGAACCTGAGAATAGACATGATTCAGGATGGTTACCAAGGCTTACTGATTACCACATCCAAATCAGTTTAACACAGCTTACCAAGTATTTGAGCCAACACAAGAAGTGACTGGAATGAGCTAGCAAAACTCCACATTTTAACTAATCAAAACAGAATACAAGTACTATGTTCAGACAAGTCGGTTCAGAACATGACTAATCAGGTCACAAACAATTTATTGATAATGATCACTCCATGATCAACACCTTACTTAGAACAAGGTTCAACAGGATGAACTGTTTTGATACTTCAAGCTTTACTTCACCTCTGACCTGAAACAGAGTGGTATGATCACAAGATCAGATCGGTTCAAGCTAAAAAGATTAGATCCAATCAGTTCAAGATAAAAAACTTAGATCCAATCAGTTCAATCTTGGTTCTGCACAGACTAGTAGAGTTCATCTCGGTTCTAATCAGTTTACAACAGTACATGACAATTCAGACTGAGTTCAAATCGGAAACTGAGAGCAATTCAGAACAGCTTAGCTTGCGGTTCAAAAAGACTGATTCAAACCGAAACTAAGCTAAAACTGAACTGTATATCAACTTACACAAGTGATCCGATCAATACTCTAGCTAAATATGAACAGGTTCTCATCAGATACTGACTGAGGCAAGGAGATGAAGCTTACCCAAAATCTAAACCATTGGATGAACTCAGATGGTTCTCCTCTCCAAGGTAATCTTGTGGCTGGACTGATCAAAAATAAAGATCAAGAATTAACGTCAAATCACCAGCAATTTTTATTGATTTATTTTTCTGAATTTTCTCACTCAGTTTTCTCTCTTTTTTCCTCTCTTTCTCTGAAAATTCTCTGGATTTTTCTGCTATGTTCTGAACGTGGGAAGCAGGTGACCGAGAGGATTATATGGCTGTGATGACCTTTGTCTGAGTGTGCAAGTTAACTCAAATCTTTGGTGAGCACAAGAATGTTTTCGTCCTAATTCATGACCAGCCACCAAGCAGCTCACTCTTTCCCTCCTTTGAAAAAAGCTTCCACAGCCACAAAAAAAAATTAATTTTTATTTGAGTCAGAAGCAAGCAGGCAGGCAGCTTGTGATTTCCATGTGACTTTTAGTGAAGCAGGTAACCAATCAAGCAGGCTAGACTGGTGAAGAGCAAGAGACAGATCAATAGGAATTTTATAAGCTGGTCGATAATCTTCAGATAATTTCGAATAAAATGTTCTCGTCCTTCGAATCTCGTCCTGCTTTCGACTAAACGCATCGAGCTTGAATAAAAATCGACTAAAATAATTAACACTCGGCCAAAACTATCAATGAAAATCCTTTCGGCCACAAGACAGTCCCGTCGAGACATTAATTCATTGGCTCGATTTTATTTTAATTCTGGTTGAACTAACTTCAAACTCGCTGAGTGAGATTTTCTTGACCAAAATTCATTGGTTCGTGAGGTTCATTACTATGCATCTCAAGGCTACTATTCTTTCAGCCGTTGAGATGAATCAGTGTGCCTTTGTTAAAGGTCGTCTTCTACTTGAAAATGTCATGTTGGCCAAAAAAGTTAGTGAAGGATTATCACAAACCAGGGATTTCATCTCGCTCAGCCATTAAGCTTGATATATCAAAGGCTATTGACACAGTGCAAAGATTGTTAATTGAAGCTACTCTTTGCGCCATGATCTTTTTCACCCTATTTGTTAATGATATATCAATGATTGTTAATGGGTTATCTGGATCTTTTTCGTTACCTGGATCATGAGATGTGTGGACCCTACTTCCTTCTCAGTTTCGGTTAACAGCGAGTCAGAGGGGTTCTTTTCTAGTTCCAGGGGAACCAGAAGGTTTTTCTTTATCTATGTACATGTTTGTCATGGTCAGCAATGTTCTCTCCATGCTCTTTAATTCAGCGGTTCTTAATACGCGTATGGGATTTCACCCTATTTGTAAGTCTCTGAAGCTGACACATCTCTGTTTTACTAATGACATTATGGTCTTCACAAATGGAACTTTGAAAGGTACTATTGAAGTATTTGACGAGTTTGCTAGAGTCTTGGATATCTGTCTAAATATTGCAAAGTCAATTGTATCTGCAACTGGGACAGACAAGCCAAGGCTTCAAGAGGAGTCTGTCTCTGCTGGTTTCTCGATTTCAGGTATACCAATTAAGTTCTTTGGCCTACCTTTTACAACAAAAATAATGTGAAAAAAATATTATAAGACTTTTCTACTAAAATAAGAGCACGATTTCAGAGCTTGACAAGCAAGTTGCTCTCCTTTGCCGGATGCCTCATGCTAATCAAATCGGTCATTGCTAGCATAACAAATTTTTGGAGATCAGATTTCTGCTTACCTAAACGTATATGGACGATATTGATAGCATGTGTTCGGTATTTCTTTGGAGTGG